GAGAAAAAAAATACAGATTGAAAATCGATAGTTCCTGAAAAACACAATACCTGTTTTGTCGGTGAGGTACATATAAATAAATAAATAATAGTGATAGTAATCTTTGATAGTAACAGTGACATCAAAGTGTGCGAAGAATTTTATTTTTTTATTTTTGATTACAGCTTGATTTCACACAGTATTTTTGGTACAAGTATGGAGTTTTCAGCGTGGATATCGGTAGCCCAAATTTCACAGGCCGACCATAGATATCAAGTGTGCGTCGGCGTGGCCTCGAACCCCGGACTATGTGCATGGTCGGCGAGAGTCCTAACCACTGTGCCACCGACGCACAGAAATACTAATAGTCATGATAATAATGGCTAAACGAAAAAAATTGTAATTTTTATTTTTTTCTATCAGTTCTCAAAATGAACCATTTACATTAATTATTACCACTGTCATCATTGAACTGCGTCTTTATCTGGCTTACCGATTGCCATCTAAGAGAAATAAGAGCATTCGTAATCAACAGTCAGTGGTGGAGTTGAGTACTCGGAGTAGTACTGTACAGCGCTTTCTTACAGATATCATGGTTGACTGGGATCCTTTAATAACCTCTAACCGCAATATATCGGAAGCATGTGTCGTCATTTTTCAATACAGCTTAAAAGAAATAGAGAAAGGCAATAACACTGACGATGCTATGGTAGATAATTGAGACAGTTCTTGTGACATCGCCTCTACTGGCTGCTTAATTTCCTATGCCTCAGATGAAACAGTGAAAAATATATGGTTACAATGCGTAGATGCTGGTGAAGATCTACTAGATTTCTTGTTAGCTTACAGGGTGAAACAGAATTACAATTGCGACATACGTTTCTTATGGGATGATAAAACCAACCTGATCACATCAATTGATGCACTTCTGATGTTAGTATACTTCAGTTGACTGACAGTTTACTTCACCACACATTGTATGCCTTGTGAAAACGCTAGTGAGACTACGTCTGCTTTTGAAAGACTATTCAATAAGTATTTAGCCCCGATTTCACCAATTTTGACTTCACTCACGACATATTACTTTGAGAAATATTCCATGTTATCTGATCCTAAAAATCATTCTTCTGACTCCAAATCAGAAGGCTGCGTGTTCGGATTACGTCGGGCTCACCAATTAATTTGTAGGGAACTATTAGGAGAGCTCATTAACTTTACAAATATCCAAATAAAAATCCAAGTCAATGAGATGATAGGGTAAATATATATTATCAAAAAATTCAGAAATTCGTTATATTGATGAAAAGGTTACTGCAATGGATAAAAAGGCACACACGACCTTACGGAGAGGCTGAACACTTCAAGGCCACGTAGGCATATTGTGATTGATAGATTTTACTTTGCGTAAACGCTTCGGCTAATCCGTAGAACACTTTACTGAGGCGGGCTTTAAAATGATAGTAATCAAAGTCGCATAAATATTACACTTTTCAGCTTAAGGAGACAAGTTAACATATGTATAAATTTCACAGATGTGATATGCATGTGTACCCACTAACAAAAAGAATATTATTGGGTAACTTAATCAAAGAAGTATAAAGTTTGAAGATTTAGTCTTTTTCAGTTGACTGTAAGGGAGGGATATTAGAGGCAGTTGTGTAATATTTACATTTTGCTGAAGACATACTGTGAAAGATAAATCGGGAGTTTTATAGTTCTTTAAATCTTTCGTGGAATATATGGACTAATCTCACCGATACTACTATTGTTGGTGATTGCTATTCAACGGATATGATGGTGAGAACATATGAAAACCACCATTATTTTGGGAAAGCGTTTTATTGGTAAGGATCCTGCGTTCGAATGGCTTCTGTAAAATAAGAGAATAAATAAAAAAGGAAATAGAAGTTGAAGATTGCCTAAAGCGGAAGTTTAAATACGAACTCCCGAATGAAAGTGCATGGAATGTGTCCGCTACGGATAAGATTTTATTTTGATAAATCACAGTGTTGTACAGTTATATTAACTGATGACGTTTAGAGCACAAACTATTGCTCATAATCATTAAGTTATTCACACAACTTTGTTCTTTCATTTATATACATGTGTGGAATCGATTACGTATTGGATTAAAATCAATGTGAGATAATGTACATTCAGAAATAATAGTACGAGTGTTGTTGATCAATTGCAGTTAGATGGGAAAAAGGACGAGTGTTTTTTTTTACAGTCATAATAAGCTACTTGTTAGAATGCTGTGTTTGAATTGAAATATAATTTTAATATTATTTATTATCCTCTTCTGATTTGACCTGTGGTAATAATATTTTCCATATTTCTGGTATTTGCATTGAGTCATTTCTGTTGCATGTGTTGGGTGTAGACTCGATAAACAAGGATTCCGTGATCAACCTCTCTTTCCACCTACCTATATTACTTTTTAGAATTTTAACCCTATCCCACCCTATTGTGTGCTTGTTTGTTATTGCGTGAAGTGCAATAGCTGAGCTTTCTTCTAAATTACTTATCTTTTCAGGGTCAACCATTCTTACCTTAGCTAAATTCTCATGTTCTGATAATCTGACTATTCCTGACCTACTAGTTTGACCTATGTAGTTGACCTCACAGTCATTGCAGGGTATTTTGTAAATTATATTATTTTGTTTAATTGGATCCACCGGGTCTTTTAGTCTACAGAGCTTGTCTCTGAGTGAGTTTGTAGGTTTGAATGCCACCCTAATTCCTGCTTTATTAAGAATCCTACATAGGGCCTCAGATGTCCTTTTCTTATATGGTATAACAGTGGATGACTTATATTCTTTCTTATCTGTGTTATCATTAATAGTTTCACCATTATTTTTATTTTGCTTTTGGTCTTTACTGATCTTCCTAATGAATTTTACAGAATAGTTATTCAACACCAACGCTTCTTCTATCTGTTTTATTTCGTCATTTAGGTCTTTTCTTGTGCTACTTAGTGCTATGGCTCGGTTTGTTAGACACTTAACTAAGCCTGCCTTAACAGTTAACGGATGAGATGAATTAAAGTCTAAATATCTATTAGAATGCGTTGGTTTTCTACAAACACTAGTGTGTAGTTTACCTTCTTCTATTCGTTTTATCTCACAATCTAACATAGGTAATTCTCCTAGTTCATTTTCTGATTCAAATGTGAATTTTATTCCCTCTACTAGTGAGTTTATATGTATCAAAAAGCTAGAGATATGTTCTGCTTTTAACACTGTAAAAGTGTCATCCACATATCTCCACTATATTTTGGAGTAGGATTAAACGTATTAATAGTACTACTTTCCCAGTTGTCCATAAAAATGCCTACTACAACAGGGGATATTGGTGATCCCATTGCTACGCCTGTTTGTCTATATATTTTGCCTTGGGACTTAAAGATAGTAGATGTGAGGCATAACTGTGCGTCGGTGGCACAGTGATTAGGACTCTGGCCGACCATGCACATGGCCCAGGGTTCGAGCCCACGCCGACGCACACCTGATATCTATGGTCAATCACTTGTTTGCCCCACTTATGAATTATCAAAACACTTAGCTCTAATACTTTGTCCCATTAGAAACCATTCAAGCTCTATATTAACTAATTCATATGAGATGAAAAGTAAACTAAATGACATTCAACTAGAGAATGATGAGAAATGGTTAGTTTTGATATGTCTAGTCCTTACACTAATATACCAGTCATTATGGCCTTAGAAGCAGTTAAAAAAAAACTAACTGCGGATCACGAACTGAATCATAGGACAAAGCTGCCCATTGAACAGATTATGTTGGGGATTCAGTTATGCCTCACATCTATTTTATTTTTATTTTTGATTACAGCGTGATTTCACACCGTATTTTTGGTACAGGTATGGAATTTTCAGCGTGGATATCGGTAGCCCAAATTTTGCAGGCCAACCATAGATATCAGGTGTGCGTCGGCGTGGGCTCGAACCCTGGACCATGTGCATGGTCGGCCAGAGTCCTAACCACTGTGCCACCGACGCACAGTTATGCCTCACATCTACTATCTTTAAGTCCCAAGGCAAAATATATAGACAAACAGGTGTAGCAATGGGATCACCAATATCCCCTGTTGTAGTAGGCATTTTTATGGACAACTGGGAAAGTAGTACTATTAATACGTTTAATCCTACTCCAAAATATAGTGGAGATATGTGGATGACACTTTTACAGTGTTAAAAGCAGAACATATCTCTAGCTTTTTGATACATATAAACTCACTAGTAGAGGGAATAAAATTCACATTTGAATCAGAAAATGAACTAGGAGAATTACCTATGTTAGATTGTGAGATAAAACGAATAGAAGAAGGTAAACTACACACTAGTGTTTGTAGAAAACCAACGCATTCTAATAGATATTTAGACTTTAATTCGTCTCATCCGTTAACTGTTAAGGCAGGCTTAGTTAAGTGTCTAACAAACCGAGCCATAGCACTAAGTAGCACAAGAAAAGACCTAAATGACGAAATAAAACAGATAGAAGAAGCGTTGGTGTTGAATAACTATTCTGTAAAATTCATTAGGAAGATCAGTAAAGACCAAAAGCAAAATAAAAATAATGGTGAAACTATTAATGATAACACAGATAAGAAAGAATATAAGTCATCCACTGTTATACCATATAAGAAAAGGACATCTGAGGCCCTATGTAGGATTCTTAATAAAGCAGGAATTAGGGTGGCATTCAAACCTACAAACTCACTCAGAGACAAGCTCTGTAGACTAAAAGACCCGGTGGATCCAATTAAACAAAATAATATAATTTACAAAATACCCTGCAATGACTGTGAGGTCAACTACATAGGTCAAACTAGTAGGTCAGGAATAGTCAGATTATCAGAACATGAGAATTTAGCTAAGGTAAGAATGGTTGACCCTGAAAAGATAAGTAATTTAGAAGAAAGCTCAGCTATTGCACTTCACGCAATAACAAACAAGCACACAATAGGGTGGGATAGGGTTAAAATTCTAAAAAGTAATATAGTTTAGAGGTTGAGAGATATTAAAGGTTTGACGTGATATCTCGTTCAACAACTTCTAATTAATTTATTCTCGCGTACCAAAGACAAAGCAAAAGCCAACAATTGATCGTCCAAACCAATAGAATTATTTACGAACCAAAACCAGCCGTTAGACGAACGCTTAGCTAGCTAGTGATCGTGCACGTGACACGACGAGGTACCAAATGGCGGGGATGCTTGACCGGAAGCCTTCAGCTAAACAAGTCGACTTAAACAGTGGTGGTCAGCATCCAATGAGTGATTGCTGTGGTCAATAATTTTGGGGAATTATTTACCGCTACAGCTCACTCCCCCCCTAGTGGGGTCGTGAGGACCCTAAGACAGAACCAGCCGGAAGTAAAAAAAACTCGATGGTTCCCTTTCGGGTGAAAAAAATCTTCCGAGCGGCTTGGTCGTATGCCTACTGGTTTGTCTGCCTATGCTAATAGGGTGTTTGTACATAGCTTCCTGGTGTTGTTCGTTGGATTCCGTGCTTCGTTTGTTTCCCGTCCAGTGCCCGTCGCACCTGGAAAAGAAAACAAGAACGCTAAGAACCATGTCGAGGAAAATGTACGAAATGACCTTTTTGGTTAAAAAAAATTATGTGCATTTACTATACAGTAAAATAATGCTAAGTTCAGAACATCGAAAAAAAATACATATAATTAATTTTTTTGTGTATGTTACATGAACTGTTGAAAAAAAAATTTTTTGTGTTTGGTGGTACTGTATATAAAAAAATTTATACGTCAAAAAAAAATAGTTAGTACCACGAACGAGTGAGTTGCGTGAATCACACGACTTCGTTAAGTCAAATAAGTGTGCAGATATTCTGGGAACCTTACGGTGCGTCCAGAACGGTTTTTCTTAGGAGGCTCAACCTTAGTAGCCAGTGGGCGAATGCCCTTGCAGTCAATAGTGTGACCCAGGAAGTCGAGTGAGTCAACACCGATTTGACATTTTTGAATATTAATGGTAACACCATGTTGGCGTAACCTGTCAAATGCCAAGTCCAAGTGCCTAAGGTGAGTTTCCTTGTCTGGACTGGCAATGAGGCAGTCGTCTAAGTATGCGTATACAAAGTCGAGACCGCGAAATACTTCGTCGATGAAGCGTTGGAATGTTTGGGCTGCATTCCGGAGACCGAATGGCATACGTAGAAATTCAAAAAGTCCGAAAGGCGTAATGATAGCCGTTTTCGGGATGTCTTCTGTTGCCATCGGGATTTGGTTATACGCTTTAACCAAGTCGATTTTGGAGAATATAGTCGCGCCGGATAAGGTTGCCGTCAAGTCGTGTATATGAGGCAACGGGTAGCAATCAGGGGTTGTTTTGGCATTCACTCGCCGGTAATCACCGGTGGGTCGCCAATCGTTGCTATCCTTTTTCGGAACCATATGAAGTGGGGATGCCCATGGGCTATTCGAAGGTCGAATGATGCCAAGGCTAAGCATATGGTCAAATTCATTCCTGGCGATTCTCAGTTTGTCAGGAGCTAATCGTCGTGCTTTAGATGTCACAGGTTGTCCTGTGGTAATGATGTGGTGCATAACATTGCTGGTTATGCACGGTAGGTCGTTCGACGGGCAATTAAGTTCCGGATACTTGTCAACGATAGGTTGAAAAGTTGGATCAAGGATTGCCTTTATCTTAACGGGTGACAAACTAGGGCCTATGTAGCTGATGCCTTTGATAGACAGACTAGTAGTATTGTCAATCAGTCGTTTTCGGCGGACGTCTACGAGTAAATCATGATGATTAAGTAGGTCCGTGCCAATGATGGGCATTGTAACGTCAGCGAGAAGGAAAATCCACCGAATAGGTTTGCGTAAACCTACGTTCAGATAGACGTATTTCCTACCAAAGGTTGCGATTGGTTTTCCATTTGCAGCCTGTAAGTTGAAGGTAGGTTCCTTCTGTCGATCTGCTGCTGTAGCAGGAAGGACGCTGACTTCGGCGCCTGTGTCGACTAAGTATCGAGTCTGGCTTATCACATCATGGATGTAAAGTAGGCGGCTAGTGCCACCGGCGACGGTTGCCGCTAACGCGTGCCGGCGGGATAGTTTCCCGCAGACTTTGAGACATTTCCGAAGTTACAAGGCTTACGGCAACACTTCGCTTCTTGGCCATAGGTGTTGTGGTACCAGCACCAGTCAGGGTTTTTCAGTGAACGTGGTTTGGACTTAGATCGACCACGCGAGTTCCTGCGTTGAGGAGATTTAGGACGACGGTTGGAGGATTTAGAATGCGTGTTTGACCTAAACATCTGCTGAAGGGAGTTGCATAACTCTGTCATTGCAGGATCCTCACTCGAAGTCTGCTTAGTCATTGAGCATATTTCGGGGACAGACCGTTTAGTTATTTCTAGGATCTTATCTGCAGTAATAGCTAAGTTCTCTATTACAGTACCCTCAAGTGTCACAAGTACGGTCTGTACAGATTGTGGCAACTTGGTTAAGAAGAGTTCTCTAAACAGTCCTTCGTCGAACTGACATTGGCCGACGACTTGTTTCATTCTTGTCAGCATGCTCACGGCTGACTGATCTCCTAACTCGATGTTGCGAAATAATTCATCTAGACGTTGTCTGTCCGTGAGAGCGTTTCTCCTGAGGAGGGATGCTTTCAGCAACTCGTACGAGTTACTTACCTCGGGACTCAACATCTGTGATGTTACGTACTTGCTGAATTCCCGCGGTAGGGCGTGAATAACTGCAAGTAACTGTGAACGTTGATCAGTTATCCCATGCTCACAAAAATCTGCTTCAGCTAGCAGAAACCACGTTTCAGCATTATCTGGCCAGTATGGTACGAGCTGAATGGTTTTAGGAGTTGAGCGGATACGGATGACCTTGGGACTAAGATCACTCATGACGAAAATTATGTCGAATAATAAATGGTACAAGAACAAATACAAAATGGAACGAACTCACCGGGGTTATCTGCGGAATTTTCGTGGATGAAGTTCGCGGTTGGGCTCACCAGTTTAATGGTGGGCTGATTTATCGTGGTTGAAGTTCGCGGTGGGCTCACCAGTTTAGGGTTGAGAGATATTAAAGGTTTGACGTGATATCTCGTTCAACAACTTCTAATTAATTTATTCTCGCGTACCAAAGACAAAGCAAAAGCCAACAATTGATCGTCCAAACCAATAGATGTATTTACGAACCAAAACCAGCCGTTAGACGAACGCTTAGCTAGCTAGTGATCGTGCACGTGACACGACGAGGTACCAAATGGCGGGGATGCTTGACCGGAAGCCTTCAGCTAAACAAGTCGACTCAAACAGTGGTGGTCAGCATCCAATGAGTGATTGCTGTGGTCAATAATTTTGGGGAATTATTTACCGCTATAATAGGTAGGTGGAAAGAGAGAGGTTGATCACGGAATCCTTGTTTATCGAGTCTACACCCAACACATGCAACAGAAATGACTCAATGCAAATACCAGAAATATGGAAAATATTATTACCACAGGTCAAATCAGAAGAGGATAATAAATAATATTAAAATTATATTTCAATTCAAACACAGCATTCTAACAAGTAGCTTATTATGACTGTAAAAAAAACACTCGTCCTTTTTCCCATCTAACTGCAATTGATCAACAACACTCGTACTATTATTTCTGAATGTACATTATCTCACATTGATTTTAATCCAATACGTAATCGATTCCACACATGTATATAAATGAAAGAACAAAGTTGTGTGAATAACTTAATGATTATGAGCAATAGTTTGTGCTCTAAACGTCATCAGTTAATATAACTGTACAACACTGTGTGATTTATCAAAATAAAATCTTATTCATAATGGCGTTATACTCTACCACAGTTCCCAGGTTTTATACTTATATGAGTCCGCTGTTTCAGAAGGACACTTAACTGTATACTTCAGGAAAACAATGGATATTATTAAGCCCTCGCTCTTCTTTGACATAGTTCACGCACTTTGACTTTTGTATTTAACTCCTTTTCAACCTACATATGTAGGTAAAATTATCAACTGTTTTTTACTTAAACTATTTGTCCGCAGAAAAGTCTGGAATGGCATTACTAAAACCTATCCGGGAAATAATATTTCTTGAAGAAAAACAATAAAATATTATGAACCCCATGTCTGTTATATATTTTGAATTACCAACACCTATTACATACTTCTGCACCTCTCTGCCGGTTTTCTTGTGTCTTCTTTTTTCAAAGGTACTGCCTACAACGAAGGCACTGATACAGCACTGCTATCCTCTACTAATTCGGGATATTGCGACCTCATCTGGTAAATAACGGAACCCCCTATATTATAAAATCTGCTGACAAGTTCAAAGTCGGTCTCATATACAACTGGGAATGTCAGAAATATGGTGTACTCACCGGTGAATTTGAAGTTTCATAGACTTTCAGGCAAAGTTCAACAATAGCGCCCCAAGTGATGCGAACGCACGAGTGACCTTCAGGCAGCCAATCATAAAAATGAGGAATTTTGCCCGAAAAATGACGTATATTCACAAGAAAATGCATGAAAACACATTAAACGGATTATATTTCTCTGACATGACTTAAAAATACGTCCCAGTTGCGATGAAGAGTATCAGTTGCTAATTTGGACTAGTTTCTGTACATGTATTCACCAAAGTGACTGAAGGTGTGCCTTTTTGGTAGTGGTTCATCTCCCTTCTCTTGCTGTGTGGTCCTCTCCTGAGCTCTCGGTTTAGTTGCTATGGTTCCAGTAAGAGCATTGGCGACTACATACAAGGGAAATGAGGATAATTAAACAAGTTGAAATAAACGACAAATCTATTCCTAATCGCAACCCTAGCCTTAATCCTAACCCTAACCCTACATTTCACACTGGCCCTAACCTTAATCTTAACCCAAATGACAATCCTTATCCAGCCGTAAATCTAACCCTAATCCCAATTATGACCGTATCCCTAACCCTAACCTCAATACTCGCCTTAACCCTAATCCTAACCCTAACGAGATGTTAACACATTGTCCAAACAGTAATTAAAAGTGTTGTAGCGGTAAATAATTCCCCAAAATTATTGACCACAGCAATCACTCATTGGATGCTGACCACCACTGTTTAAGTCGACTTGTTTAGCTGAAGGCTTCCGGTCAAGCATCCCCGCCATTTGGTACCTCGTCGTGTCACGTGCACGATCACTAGCTAGCTAAGCGTTCGTCTAACGGCTGGTTTTGGTTCGTAAATACATCTATTGGTTTGGACGATCAATTGTTGGCTTTTGCTTTGTCTTTGGTACGCGAGAATAAATTAATTAGAAGTTGTTGAACGAGATATCACGTCAAACCTTTAATATCTCCCAATCCCTAAAGTGTTATCTGGGTGAAACGTGCTCCTTATTTGATGATTAGGGTCGATATTTCAACTATGATAATGACAGGGACCGTTAGCCAACGACTAGCATGCGTTCAAGGTCATTTGAACGTTCGCAATCCTGGGACGCTATTCTTGTACTTCACCGACTTTCAAACAATTTAGAAATCATTTACTTATATTTATTGTTTATTCTGCATCTCTTATGTATCACGTCAGCACCTGTACATAGATGCTACTTACCTCCTGTAATACTCAAAAAACAGGCACACCCGGTGAAGGAAGAAGACGAAGATGCGGAAGAAAAAGGCTTTTTTTCGACAGAGGATAGCGGCACAAATGGCTTATGGAGAGGCTGAGCACTTGAAGGTCACTTACGCACACTGTGATTGGTAGATTTTCTTTGGCGTAAACGTTGCGGCTAATACGTGCCTTACGTTACTGATGCGGGCTTTGAAATAGCAATAATAAATGCGGATAGACATTATATTTTTTAGCTTAAGGGAACAAGTTAACATGCTTATAAATTTCACAGATGTGAGAAGCATTAGATCCACTAACAAGGAGAATACTACTGGGTAACTTAATCGAAGAAGTACAAAGTTTGAAAATTTTATCTCTTTTAGTTAATTGTAACGGATGGATGAGTCACTTGTATAATATTTGCTTTTTATAGAAGAGAAAGTGTGACAGGTGATTTTGAAGTTACACGATTCCTGAAATCTATCGTGGATTATATGGACGGCTAATCTATAGAATTTCACCAACTCTGTGGCTGTTCTTTGCCTTGTTCACATATTCACTGTGGCTAAGATTAGGAATTGTTCACCAAAGGTGGGATTAATTTACCTGATATGTATACATCTTCAGATGTTTCTCAATACGGCCGAAGGCATTCGAAGGAATACAATCTCAATCTCTGCTTGGAAAGTTCACATCCAGTTTCTGCGAACGGAACTGGTGGTGACGAAAACTGCAAAGACTGGTCCAACACCACTAAAAACGGAGGCAAACTGACACAGATGTTGCGGATAGAGTGTTTGGTGGACTTTATGATGACTATGATGCAGCTGTAAAAACTGTACGACTGTGATTTTTTTCACTGGATTCTTTTTAACTCTTTTTAGTGTAGAGACGTACTCTTTCACTCTGAGTTATTTTAAACTTGATTGATTATTGTTTCCTCGCGAATATGCGCATTTATGTCGACTAACTTTATCTCTTTTACTCACCATTTTGAGGACATTATAGAGTTAACGAGAATGATAAGCAACGTATTAATACTTGTGTGAAATGCGTCAGTCTTAAACTGTTATTATTTCCTCAATGCGTCATCAAGCCTTGTGTAAAGTGTTTCAGTTGCGTATAAGATTAATATTCAAGATTGTTAAGAAAGTGGCCGTCAAACATGTGTTCGTACTGTAATAACGAAACATAACCCAACAAACGTAGGTTTTATGTGCACACGACTTGTATTAGTAGTCTAGGCACTTCAAGTACACAATGCAATGTATATCCTATTTATCACAAATAGTCTGTTATTATTATGTTGCGTTTAACACCACTATCTCAAAGGGTATTATTAGGTAATAAAGAGAAAACTACATTACTCTTCTTGTGTTATCATTTCGTATCAGTAGGCTCTTACATGATCACACCAACACTTAGACTCGTGCATTAGTTGACTACGTCACTAAACTTCGTTGATTATTTTGTTATCATGAAATACTGTGACGCATTAAATAGGCTTTTGTTGTGCATAACGTCTATTTAAGATTTACTAGCGGAAGCAATTACTCAAAAGTGATAACAGTACCCCATCGTGACAAATTCGGCAACGTGTGAATATGCCATTTTACGAATATTACGTCTTCTACACTGGCATCACTTTTCAACTCGTCGAACACTAAGTATTAATAGAGTAGAATTTTTACAACAATATTTATTTCGGTAAATACATTAGTGATATCTCAAATATTTCATCATTTACACAAATGCCATAGTTTTTAAT